TTTGAAGAACATTTATTGTATAGAGTAAGATGTTTTGTGTCATAAGTATTTTTATTATACAATAAAAATTCTTGCATAATTCTTTCAATCAATTGACCTATTAAATACATTATTTACAGTGATTAATTATTAAAGGTAAATAATACTGAGAATAACTTCACTCAGTAGCATACAAATTTCCATACAATATCAATAGAACCCTGCAGATGCATGCACCAGAACACTTGACACAGTGGTCCAGAATTTCACAAATCTGGTAAATATACCTTTGCTCATTACAACTTTGTACTGCGTTTGCCTCCGGTATTCCCAGGAGCAGAGAAAAAGATTTTCAAGGAATTAATGCATTTTCACCAGAACGAAGAAACATCTTTCTTCTCATAACCATGCACATGGTATGTTTGCTAAATACCCATGAGCAAAGAAAAAGATTTTCAAAGAAACAATGTATTTCCTAATAAAATCAATAGAGCCCAGTCCTAACACCAGAATCTCCACACCCAAGAGCTATGGATTTCACAATTTTGGAAGAGACATCCTTGTTTTTTAAAATATGCAATTTCTTTGTCTGCTAAAGGGGAGAGATGAAAATTTTGAAAGAATTTATGCATTTTCACTGTATGATCAATAGAGCCTTACAAAACAAAGAAGCCCTGACTCAGGGGACATGATTTTCACAATTATTGAAGAGACACCCTTGCTTATCACAGCCATGCACTTAGTTTATCTGCTAAATGCCCAAGAGTAGCCAAGAGTAGAAAAGATTTTCAAAGAATTAATACATTTTCATAATATGATCAATAGAGCCCAACCTTAAAACTAGAACCCCTTACCATAAAGAGTGTCATTGAATATATCTGGAGAGCAAACGTAGTTCATAAAACCATGTTCACTAAAAAACGTTGTTCATTTCTTAAATATTTAATGTAATTGTGAATTTGATGGATCATAGCTGACGGGGACCCTAAAGTGTTAAATGAGGGAGTAGTAATATTTCTCGTACAATTTCTAATACTAGTAAATAGCCTTATTTCAACTATGCTGACATTCATGATGTCTTTTTGATATTATACGCACACTAAAATACTCTACGATTCCTCACAGAAAATCAAGAAAACGTAAACTAGATCATTTTTGATAATCTAGCTGACGTCAAAGTATGCTGTGTTTGTGAAGACTTAAGATTAGACGTCATGTTCCTCAAAAATATACACATTTTCCCAAGTCTATGTCATAATGATATTGAAATATTATTTCTTTTAGAAGTTTCCTCGCAAAAAATTAAGGTACATTACCATTTGTGCAAAAAAGAAGTTACAATAAAAATAAAAAAAAATTTAACATTTAAAATAATTGTGGCACTCCATAGTTTCTGAGTTTCAAAATTCGACAAACGTGTAGGAGCTGTGAATTATCTTCGTGTATTATTCAGAGAGCGGCAATATGAATTCCGGAAAACAAAGTTTACAAGATCAAAAATACATAGTTACATTCATAGTATAAACTCAACATCAATACAGTTGTATGTTCGAGACGACATGCTAGGATGTCGGAATTTCCTACTTGTCTAGAATATGAAACTGATTTGAATGCAAGTTTGGATTTACAAACTTACAAGTCTGGATATTCCATACGCAATAGTCTGAGTTTCTTCTGTGTGTATATATTATCACGTGCTAGTTTACACAAAAAAATATCTAATAAAAATTAAATAAAAATAGAAAATTTTATTATATGATTGAATAATTCCTATCTCTCTGATTGGCTGAGATACAACAATGCTGAAAAAATACTACGTTATATTCATCTGCACATGACTTCCAGGTGAATATAAGGATTTATTTTCTCTACATTGGTCTAGAAATAGATCGGGAAATTCCAAATTTATAAAAATAGTTTGGGAAAGTTTTTTCACTTGCTACCAACTTCCACTCAGATGAACATAACATTAGAGAATATATAATTTGGGGTGGGGATGGGGGTTGCAGGGACCCCCCTCCCCCAACACTTTTATTTTGAACGTAAATTTTTACTTTTAATTTAGACTAAAAAATATTCATTGAAAGGCTGGTCCCCCACTAATGGACCATAATCCCCCACCCCAACCCAAAAACAAAATTTGAAGTTAAGAGAATTCTCTTTGCATAGGGCTTAATCAAAAGTTAGTTTTCTCTGAACCCCTCTTCCCTTTCAAAATCGATCCTATAAAAGAGCTTGACATTATCTTTTTTTCTTAACAACTAAAGTAGATGTAGATTTAAAAAATTCAAAATTATTACGACTGGTAATGTTTGTTTAACCCTGCCTCTCTCATTGCATTTGACTAGGACTTCAGCAAATGTAAACACGTAAGATGGCATGAATTGCTTACTGTAGATTCCTTATTTTACGCGAGTACTTAATATCGCGAAATGGCTAAAGGGCGTCAAATTGCGATAAAAATAATTCGCGAATGGGTGATTTATCTAGAGATTTTACATACATTAAAGCACCATAAAAATAAAATTGAGTAATTTTATTTCGCGAGTGGTGCTTCTCGCGTAATTACGCGATAATTTATTCCTAGCGTGTATTTAGGAATCTACAGTAATAAGATTGTATCATTTAATCATTGAATCATATAATAAAACAATCATTGCTGGGTTTTTTTCAGTCAATACGGTGATTTAGCCACCTTCGATGTAAAATATTCACCGAGCCCGAAAGGCTCGGTGAATATTGTACTCCTCAGGTGGCTAGATCATCGTATTGACTAAAAAAAATAGCAATAATTGTATAATATATTCAGTTTTCATAAGATTGAGATTGAATGTTCACCAAAAGACAAAATCCATTTTTTTAAATTGTCATTTTAACTCAAATGAAGGCTCAAGCAGCTGGAATAAAATGCTATATTAAAAATTCAGAATGTACTGTGAAATAGGAGAATTATATAAAAAACAATTAATATAAATTCACAAAAAACATCAAGAATCTCACTCTGCGTACCTCTCTCTCTCTCTCACCGACCCCAGTAAAACATTCTTTAAAACAATACTTTAGGCGACAAAATGAGCAAATGTTGATAGCTCATATTGTCGCAGAAGACAGTAGGTGTCTATCTGTTAATGTGCATTTTGTCGACAGAGAGCAAAAAAGGCTCGTCTTAGTAAGCACATACTGTTTTCGGTGTAGTATGTACCAATGGACATGTGCAAATGAGGGCAGGTACATATATGTACATGCGACATAAAGATCAGTCACATCCCCGCCTGAGAAATAAAATATAATTTTGTTGAAATAGTAATTCTAATGTCTATCTCTCTACAAGTGTCTTTCACTAATTAACAATTTTCAATTGCCAATGGGTACATTGGTCATGTACTCATTGGCAATTGAAAATTGTTAATTAGTGAAAGACACAAGCATCAAAAGGAAACAAAATTGAGTTATCGTTCCTAACTAGGGATTCAAGCGTAATGTCGGTCAACAGAATTCACAGTTGACAGTATTTTAAATATTACTTAATCAGTGCAAAATTTCTTTTAATTTTACAAGGTTATGTAGAAATTTTTACAAGTTAAATTCTCATTTGCATTTTAGAAATGAATTATATGTTCGAACGAAAAAAAAAAAGAAGACTTTGCACAATCCACAGGAAAGACAACTTGGAAAGTCTTATTTGGATTTTTTCTGCACTTCTTTTTAACGTAACTACATGTACCACGGAATTTTATTTTTCTCACTAGATTTTAATTTTCTTATTCCTTAGTTAAGTCCAATTATTCAAGATAAATTTGAAATTTTTTAATTGGTGTTTTGTTGGCTAAACTTGTATATCCTTAATTTTTAATTTGCTTGCACCTGCACAAGTTCTGGGACTCTAACAAAAGCCTATGGTTCTGAATGAAAGCGCTCTTTTCTACTTCATGTCAGATTTTAAAGTGAGGTTGAATGAATAGTGTTGCCATCTTAAAGCATAATATAGTTCCCATGCAATGTTTGGACCATCAGGACTAGCGAGGCAGGAGAGCTTGGGGAACCATTGATGAAACAAGCACGTTATTTGGACGACAAGGTACTTGGGCCAGGTGTGAAACGTTTGAAGAGGACCTTAGTTTAATCGAAACCTGTCATTGAGGTGAAATTAGCTTAATTTAAAAGCTGATTTACCGTGATTTCAGACGGGCTTTGAACCGAAGGTAAATAAGAGCGACTTCGCGATCGTTTATGGTCACATATAAGAGATAAACACCGCCAATCTGGAGAGATGTTCAATATCTTAAAAGTTTTGGATAAGGTAATTAGCAAAGAAAACATTTTCTGCAACGTACCTAAGCCTTTCCTTAACCAAATTTAGCCAAATTCGAGTGTATCCACAAAGATTTAATGCGATAATATTGTATGAGTGTTCAATATTAGCCGAGTATTTATTAGAATACAGAATAAATGTTTCTTATAAAACTTGTACCAAGGATTTTCAGCCATTAAGAAGCAAATTAATCTAAGTTTTATATCTTAGAGTGTCACTATGCAAATATTATTAGATATAAATGCAAAGGGTCCGTGACCTTTAAAACGTTTAAGATTTAAAGAAAGTAATTTTATGTGAAATATGATATATATACATAAATATCACATATATAATATGTGATAATTAATTGTGCATGCAGATATTTTTTTCAGATACTTTTTTGTAAACACCAAATCAAATTCGGGGTGGTTTTTTTTTTTTTTTTTTTTTTTTTTTTTTTTTTGGTCGTAACTTTTCCTACTTTACCAGAAACCTTCTCCTATCAACAGAAACTTATGGATCCACTACAGAATACGTCACCTGAAAAAAAAATTAAATTAAGAGTATAAACACAAGCACGAGGTGTGCTGACTCATGCGCCGATTCTGACAGGTAGGGGAACCAATGAGCACGAAGGGCGGGTGGAGTCAGCTTTTCTCTCTGCCTCACGATCAAGTATCTCTAATGAATATTTAAACACCTATTTATTTTAGCGTAACAGAAAAAAAACAACAAAAATCTGAGTGCTTCATTGAGCATAAATTGAAAATTACGTATGTGGGAACATTAGCACTTTATCGGTATGTGTAAATACAACATTTAAAATTCTGTTCATAATATTGTGACTTTTAAATTTGTCGGTTTGTCTTCTGACCAAGATCTTTGCCAGGTGTCCACGGAGTAGGACCCACTTGAAATCTCGAGTGTTTTGGGATTCTATTCTCCCTGAAGAATGACACTGACTAACTGCTTAAGTGACCTCCCCGGATGAAGAATATTTTTGTTTTTCCCCCCATAATCTGGACTCATGTCAGCTTACGCTAAAGCGGTATAAAACATACGAATTTCCGAGGATACATAGAACATCATGCAAAATAGTGAAACAAACAAGACGAATTTTACCATTTCCAGATAGCAGTGAAATCCTGTGAAACTTTGTATGTATTTTCTATTTATTAATGATTTGGATAAGAATGAATGGATTCTTTCAGACCTCGTCAACAAGAAAGCGAGTGATTTTTATGAGCTGGTATCTAATATTGTGCGTTTGTGTTCCTGTTGCCTGCAAAAAGCACAAAACTCAAAAAGTCGTGCCACAATCGTCAAACCAAACTGAAGTCATTCAAAGGTTATCCAACTTTTTTGGAATAGACAGAATACCTGGAAGAATTTTTAAAAGATCTCCACCTGATTATATGATGGATTTATACAAAAGTATAACGGATAGTGGAGGCCTTATGAAAAGGGAAAGTCCCTATAAGGCAGACGTCATTCGGAGTTTCCCTGACAGACGTGAGTATCACTTCCGGTGTACTTTTTCAGCCCTGGTGTAGAAAAACAGTTTCTGGAAAGATATCTTACTTGAATTTCGAGATTAAAAGCATTTATCTTGAATACAGATCACATGCGCAAGTGTAAAGATAGGCAAATTTCACTCAGCGCCTTCACTCATCGGGAGACGATTTTTATAATAAAAAAATTATAAAGCTGTAAACTTGTTGAAAGGACTGAGAAACAAGTGTGACATAATACCATTAAAACCTAAATTTTTATGTGCATCAGCTGGTAATTTTGATAGGCATCGTAATTCTAGTTATTCTCACTGTCGCTGTCTTAACCTTTGAAATTGACCCCCGAGACACGACGTGCCCTCGCCATTGTGGAATCAGACGAGATTTCATATACAGTTTATTACGAACATTAGGCAGACAATCAATTTCAATAGGCGACTTAGCTTCGTTTTTTAAACTCGTTTGAACTCAAATTATGTGATTTTATCTCTTTGTGACGATTCCAAAGGGGATGTGCGATTTACGAGTGGTTTTCATAAGCGCTCCGACGCGTTCGGAGCCAGTGGCTGTCGTTCGTAAGTTCGATATAACTATCTTCGACAATCTCTTTGGCGCATACGGGACAGTTGCTCCGAAACGAGTAGAAATTTCCACCACGGCATAAGCCGAAATGTTCTTTTGCGAACAAATGCCTTTAAAATTTATCTAACATTAATAAGGTAGTTTCATAGATTTGAATTGTTGCATGTCATAAGTGAATTATTTAATAATAGCTACTCTTTTACGTCCTGACGCGCCTTCGTATCCGGGAGATAAAAATGTTTCGAGTTGTATGGCTATGCCAAGTTTTTGTTTTGAGCAAGTGTTGAATTTTTTGCAAATATAACAATACTGATTTAAGAATTCATTTGGTGTACCTAAGTATCTAATTAGCCTGATTGCATTAAGGGAGTTTGTCCAAAGTTTGTCCAGTGTGCACAGATAATTTCCTGTGATCACAACACAGAGACTTGCTTTCGGATTGTGAAGAATTCTTATTTTTAAAAAAAATCATATTGCAACTAAAACTAATTAATCTGTTATTTATTATTTTTTTTAACAAATATATTTCTTTACACATTCCGGGAGCAAGTCTCTGTGATCACAGCGAACAACTCTAACACAGTATATCTAGTAGGATTTAAAAAAAAAAGAACTTTTTTCAAACGGTTAACTAGATTGAATCCCTCGCAATTTTGCACGAATCTGCTTAGCTTTGGGACAAAAGGTGCTTGCCACACGCGTTTGTATCCCCGATTCCGATAATTGTCAACAATTTCTCACCTGTCATCAAGACAAATGAGGGTAGGGGCCATCTTAATCGTTTCCATGTTACTATGTGTATCAAATTCCGCATCTTCTTTACATAAAATTCCCCAACTTTTCTTTATTTATAGGCTAACTTTACTCATTTCTCAGTCTTACAAGTTTTTGCTTGGGATATATGACGAAGGTGTTACATACAGCGGGACAGTGAATGCCCTGGCGGGGGATGAAGCCGTATAGATGAATTAGTAGTCTTATTCGGCACCCGCAGGTGTTAAAATTGTCAACACAGGTGTACATATTCGCACGGTGTCGTGGCCAAATGTTAGATCCCTAAATCTCTGTATGTGCATTATGGAAGATTAAGCAGAAAAGACGAGTTTCGACAGAAAAATTCACTCTTCACATGTTTCGATGAAGCCGCGACTCAAACTGCATTAGTGCCTTAAGCCGTTAGTCACTGCTGCAGCTATGATACCCAAGGTTGGTCGTACTCATTGAAACAGGTGGGTCCTCCAATGCATTATAATTTAAGAGGGGGACAAAAGTAGAGAAAGTTGTATTGTGATGAAAACCATCTGTGAAGAAATTTGATTTCTGTTGTTCAAATATTAAGTCTTCTAGAGGGACCACCACTCACGCACGACTCCCATTTATATCACGAGCAATTGAATACGATACGCTTTATAATGTGCCTGTGTTGAGTTTAATGTCGACGGTTATCTAGAAAATCAGGTGTGAAACATATATATGGACCAAATTACAATGTTATCTAATACCTGGTTTATTAAATATTAGCAGTTTATATTTATAAATAGCTTTATTGAGAAGTACAGTGGTTTCATGGCTACATTATTTCTAGGCCTAATTATTTTTAAATCAAGGCATTAAAGCATCCACAACAGAAAGTGATATTTTATTAATGATATAAGGGTCCCAGGGGACAGAACTCACGCATGTTTAAATTGACCTGCAAGTGCAATGAAGACGCAGATTAACATCAGAGGTCAAAACCAAAACGTGTGGAATTCACCTTTCCGCTAGTTATTAATCGGCGGTGGATATGAAAAATGTCGCAAGGACCTAGATTGGACTGTTTAACGTCACTGATACACGAGTTTTCGCTGATGCTTTGGGCATCCAAATGAAATTCCTTTTCTTGAAATGTCATTTCACACCAGCACTTTCCAGGTTAACAGAAAATGTGTACAGACCTATAACACCTTTTTTTACGATATCGGTGGCCTGGTGTAATTGTAAGGATAATTTGAGCTTGTAATGGAATTGAATCATTTTTAAAAATATTGAAAATTCCCATGAAATTATATGAGCGCGAATTCAGACCTACAAAACTTAATAGGCGTTGTCAGTTCACAGACATTCTTGTAATGTAAAACTCGGAAAGGAGAAGGTCGATCGAAAAATTGATACTAAGTAGTATTGTTTGCAATTTGGATAATATATTTTTACCTAACAATTGTAAATAAGAATATAGGAGGAGGGGTATCGTTTCCTTATGAAAGTCCAAGCAACAAAGCATTTAAAGTAAAACAATTGTAATAAATCGCAAGATCGCTTACACATAAAAGAACGGAAAGCATATCCGCAACTCAAGTTACTCTAAAATATTTCATCTACAACTTGACACTGAAATGATAAGAAATCGGTGAATTGTAATGGAACATTTCTATTTCAGATGGGCTAGTTCATGTCTCTGAACAATGGAGAAATTCCATATAAAGTCCTACATTCAGACTTCGAAAATGCTTACTTTGCTTTTGCAAATTTTTGAATCAAAATGCTTCTCAAGCGACTTTTAATAAAGTGTTGAAAAGGAGGCATTGAAATGTTTTGCTAGCCGTGAAGGATTTTTTTTGCGCAGTAGGCGGTATTGGGATACCTGCTGCTTCAACGGACATATCTAATGTGCAAATACCTCATAATGGCTTGTAAACATATTGATATTATGTGGAAAATAAGTTTAAACAACCTTTGACATCAATAGATGCTTTTTAATCTGACTCTCATTAAACATCACAGGTGTAAGAGAGCTCTTCAATTCTTTTAAAAAATATGTAAAAATAAAATCATCGTTAATATTGCACAGACGATTGGTTCCAAATGAGTCTGATTTTCTGTAATTGTATATCGTATTAGGTCGTATTTAACTCACATCTTGTTAAAGATGGTGGTTTTCTTGTGATATACGGAAATGGGATTACTTTACACAATACTCAATGTCATTTTATCATACAGAAAATTATCTTGCCGATTAAAGATCCCATGGCAAGGAAATGATCAGACCAACGACGTACATCACAAAATTTACACTTAACAGCGCGAGTAGCTCGCGTATCAGTATCATGTGTTCAATGAATTTAATCAGGCATTTCAGTTTCCATTGATTATGATTAATCATCAAAGGGTCACTTCTGACGATCGATAAAACTGTGCCCCACCTGTAATATTATTTATTATTGTCATGTGATATAGAGTTTCGGTAACTAGATTATATCAGATTAAGGTCCACCCATATTCTCAAGTAAAAGTTATTAAGACAGCTAAAAGAAATATCTTGACAAGAAAATGTAGTTTGTTAAAATCGTGTCTGCCATACTATGCTTTGGCTATCTTTTTAACTTGACGGAAAGGGACACCCACGTGCTGTGTTCACTGGAAAAAGTGCATAATGAGCGAAATTCTTATCTCCTTTCGCTAGAGAGTTGATATCCATTTTATTTGCAGAGTATATAATGAGAGAAAGACAATAAAATGTTACTGCTCTTTCACCGAGGTAGTCGTATTTCACCTTCAACATCCAAATATAAAAGATAACTTTCCAGACGAATTCTGCAGAGGGAAAGAAAATTTCAAGCTGTATTTTTAGATTAGGAGGCCAAAAAGAAGTGTTTGTCAAGGGTTAATAAAAACGATAACTAGACGATAATACTAATTGCGAAGACAAAAAAAGTTTATAAAAGTTCATAAAAAAATTAACTCGGTTTGCCTTAACCTCTGCAAGTAGAAGGCGTCTAGACAGACAAACTGATTTCATAAAATCAGAGAATGAAAGTGTATACATCGTTTCTTATTGCAAAACAAGAAAACAATAATTGATTGACGTGTTGCAGCATCTTTTGATTCTAGCAGCCTTGACTGGGATTATTCTAGATCCGATAAAACACATTTGATAGATGATAACAGGAAGTTAACCCTTATGTGTGATTTACGTCTCTGCGTGAAGATGCTCGGAAAGGGACGACGCCTCACACAAACCAAGCTTCACCTGATTTCTTTTAAAATCCTGTGGATAACATTTAGTTAGTTAACTAGATAATATATACTTACAATTATTAGCATTAATTTAGTCCTTGAGTTGAGCTTCTAGTGGTACAATGTCATTAGTCATAAGCAATAGAGTTGCAAAAACATCACAGCATTGGAAGAGGGTGTATGTTAATGTGCAGGGTCAAAAGTCTCTTGTCAGAAGTATTCAATTTCGTCATATATGCAGCAAAATTAGTCAAAGTCAAGTTTATATGCAGTATATCCATGAAACATTTTTGTTATACCTTAAAAGATTAGTTCCTATATAAATCTATAGTTGAAGAAGTCTAAAATTTCTAAAGTTTTACTGAGCGGTCATTAAAAAAATCGATGTTTGACCGCAGAGTGAGATATTGGACCTGTGGATGTGATATTGGACCGCTTACGTCACACTGTGGGAGGGATCAGCTAAATCTTATTTGCATTCGTTGGTATGAAAGCCAGCAAAAGATACATGTATAACATAAATAAATAAATAATTGTAAATAAATAAATAAATAAAAGGTATATAACAAAACATTTATTGACTGTGTTCTCGGGCAAAATGCGTTTTGTCGACCTCTCGAACCAAACTGTTTGCCTTCGTCCTAACGGCCTCAGGCAAACTGTTTGGTTCTTGGGTCCGACAAAACGCATGTTGTCCTCGAACCCAGTCAATAAATGTCTAATATTCTTTGAAGACTTTGATTATCTGTAGAAACCCATTGCATATATATTTCAATTAAGTCTCAAACTTAAATTGTCAACGTAAAATCAATATAAAGCCAACATATGGATATTACATGTATACGAGGAATGTCGTTCCGGTTTCCTTTGTACCTCGCGTAGTCTGTGGTGACTATAAATGACAGTCATTTTCATGGAATTTTATCGGCAGCAGGAGCTAGATCTAGAATGATTTATTGTTTTCTCAAGTTAAATGGTTGAGGTATCAAGTTTTTGACACATTTAATATATTTTTGACTTCTGATGCTAACACCGAATAAGGCGTATCAATGTAAATAAATACGGGTGGGGTATGCTAGATCATTTAATAGTAATCGGTTTTACTGAATTGCAGTTATAGAGTTAACTGTGAGTGGCTTTTGACAAAAGTGCAATGTATGAGCGAAAGCGACTAGAGATGGGGGAAAAAAACCTGTGTTCCTTTATAAAACCTGGAATGAGATATCCTGACAGAAAAAAAATCAATTTGAATAACTTTTATGATAAATGATTTCAGTACACAATACCCACAAAATTATCATTTGCTGGGGTCAGAGCCCATTAATCAAGTGGAATGCGCGAAGGAAAAGCAAAAACATGAGCTGTGTCTTTTGTATAGGTTGTTCAAGATTTTACAGGTGTTGTTTTGAAGACCCTCGAAAACTTTTGACGAAAAACTCCCGAGCTGAATGAAGTTCTCATAAAGGTCGCTATGTATACATATTATATAAACGTGTCTCAATATTTTGATAGTTGTAAAGAACACCTTTTGCTTTATTCAGGTACAGGTGTGGATATGTACTTATCTTATACTTATCTAATAATATGACACCTGGATTGAAGTAGACAACCCCTGCTCCTCTCACGTTTTTAATTTCATTTGATGTATGGGGGGTTCATTCATGATTTAGATTATCGAAATTAATTTTTAACTACCGAATGGGTTTGTGGTATATTTTCGTGTATAGACTCTTAATTTGGCATTGAAAAGTAGGTCTCTTGTACGGTATATAATGACTTTTGACAATAATCGAAAATCTAATTTTAATTATTTCATCTTTTTTTTTTTGACTTCAAAAGGAGACGTCCATTGCAGTAGCGTAATGGACGTATGAGAGTAACAACAGTTTTGCAAGCCTTGAAGGTCTGAATTTGCAACTTTGCAAAATCCACCGATGATTCAATTTTGCAAAATGCACTATTTCTTCATCACCTGGTCAAACAGCTAGACCAACTCTTTCAGTAATTGACAAATAAGAATTTAACAAAACACTGCTGATATGTACTCATCTTTTAATATTTGACTCAGATGTCCCTTCGTACAAAGTGCGCATGCCAGTTAGCAATTAGTGCATCTTTAATTCATTCAGGCCACCGAACAACTACCATACCATTTAAGGGCAATCGCGTGAAGCCACTTGTTTTGTACTTTATATTCTGCTGCAGCCTCGACTTACTCATCAAAACACTGGATTTGGCCTCTGCTCCAGTTTACTAATTACAGGTAATTCCCCCGTAATCGTGCCCTTGTTATAAATAATATGATATATGAGACCCCATCCATTTTTTCGTAGTACCCAGCCGAGCTGTCTAGTTATACAATTAGTTTGGGTTGATGTTAATTTGGAGATAGGGTGACTTCTGCTGGGTTCATGGTTATCTTGTTTTCACTCATTCTTCGTGATTTCATATTATGATTCACTTGTCTGTTTCAAACCCTTATGTAATTTTTTTTTAAACAAATTCATTAAACGGTTCCATGTTTCAGAAAACTCGCTTAGTCATTGCTAACTAATTATGCAATTTTGATTCGTTTTGCTGCGAACTTTTATGACAATTTCATTTTTCGATAATTTATAAAATCTTTTCGCCTTTAATGATATGCCTTATATCTAATACCACCACGAAAATATGCCATAACATTTTGATTCTCTATGTGTTATATCTTCAACGCAGGGCACAAAGTATATGAAAAGATAACAATACAATGCAGAATTTGCAACCACCGCTTTACAACATTGGTTGTTTCTGCATATCTATCCAGAACGGCAGTTAGAAATTCAATATCGATATACAAAGTTTCCTCTGGAAAATAGGACAGAAAATTCAGATACATTAATGTTCTACCGCCAGACACCTAATCAGTGGTGAAAAGAGACGAGTCTAGATAAATGAAGTAAGGTTTCTAAAATTTCATTCAAGAAAATAATTTCGTGCTGCGTTTACCCGTGTATACAAGAATTCGAACACGATAGGCTTTCTAAGTCCGATAAACAATCGTTTGATTGAGGTTCACTATACACTTTACATACAGGACAAATATTGAATCCATGTAACCACTATCTTATCGAGCCCTAGTCTGTTAACTTAAGCTATCTAATTTTGATGATCTTTCCTTCGATAACCCCTGTTGCCCCAAAATGAGGGTTTCCGTTGTGATGATTCAAAACGAGGCGGGTCCCTAATGGCTTTCAAATGATGCGAGTTTCGGCTATCTTCCTAGCTATCATTGTTTTCACACGAATGTCGACTGAAAGTTTGGCCCATATATGTACTCCGGGTATTTCTTGTGTAAAAGTGTTTTGGATTCGAACAACCAGTATATTAATGAGAACTATATATATATATATATATATATATATATATATATATATATATATATATATATATATATATATATATATATATATATGGTATGATTCGCAGAAACTTGTCACCCTTCTCCAGATCTGTCAATATTTATTTGACAAATCATATTTTTTTTCCATATTATGAGATAGAAAGGCGACGGGTATTTATTACGTTTAAGTTCGTTTGTGTAAAAGATCATTGGTAGATGGGTGCATGCGTAGCCTTAGTGCGAGGAGATTGGATTTAATCTCTCCACTAGAGGTACGAATCGGTCTGTATGTTCTCATTCTTTGACTTTGTGCTCTTGCTCTTCAGCGCTAACAGGCACTAAGAGACGACTGAAAATTGACAATTATTAATGAAAAGGCAAAGCAGATTTATGCAACTGAAGAAATTGTCTCAAAGCCTCTCTTTGAATAGCTGTTGAATGCGGTGTTGTAAAAAGCGTCAAAGGAATTAAGCTAGCAGATATGCGTAATTGCCGCGTCTGCTATAAATTAATTTAGTTTATAGATAAAAAAGGTACAACTTTTTATGTATACTGAAATAAAATACCTTTGTATAATTCAAAAGTATATCAATGACAAACTGAGTATATTATCATTTTTAGTTTGTTTGAAAGGAAGTGGAAGTATATGATCAAATGCATCGATGGCTCCAGAGAGACCCCGAAGAAAGTTGCAATAAGACGATTTCGCATCACAACTTGCAATAAATATTATCTGTTAAGAAGCAATAAATTAAGAAATAATTGCCGTGAAGACAGGCAGCTAATTAGAGCAATGAGTCGTTTAAATTACAGTTCTTAAGCGACAAGTATTAAAGAAAAAGTCTTCGTTTTTCTACGCCCCTGATTATTCATCATGTATGAGTGAAATGCATATACCACTTACCACATCAACTATCTGACTGTTTTATTACTTGGGTCCAAGTCACCATTATGATCTGATGAAAACGAGAACTAAATCTAGAATTTGTTGATGGTCAGTGTCTCTAGTGTGTACACAGCCTACAGGCAGCAGGCCCGCAGGAGAAAATTTCATTTGGGGAGGGGGGCACATACATTCTTGTTCGAATTCTTGAGCGGAAGAAATGGGGCATCAGACGTATTTGAGGGGGCACAACCGTTTAGTGTAATACATGTATATACATGTACTGGCAAATTCATTGAGGGGCCACAATTGCAAGTTAACTTTCTTTTCTACAGTAAAGTATATACTGGCAAAATTATTGAGGATGCCCCCTACCCCCCCCCCACCCCACCCCCTAGAGCCCCGGTTCCTATGGCTTAGACAGATAAAATGATGGATCATGTTCCCTTAAAACAACTGCGTAAGACACAATTTTTTCTCTCTTCTTTTTTTCTCAAATATTTTCTCTCTTCTTTTTTTTTTAGAGTGGAACCAGTCTATGCATTTTTCTTATAACATATCATATCTATCGGAGAGGGAGAAAATATTAGCCGCAGAATTCCATGTTTTTAAAATGCGACCAGCCCCTCCTTCTCCAAGAGAAACCAAACCACCTTACGTCATTGAGGTAATTTTCATTAAAATTTAATATGTACTATCAGAATTCAACTGCTTAATGTTTTTCTCTCCATTTGCTGGAAAATTGACTATAGAAATAATTAATCATTTTTTTTCTGAACGGTGTCTTATAGATATCATTTTTCATTGCAACATTTTACTGACGTCATCAATTCCCCATCGTCTGATTTTACAGAAGCTGCCATTGTATGACAAGTCAAAGGTTCGCCCGCCCGCAAACATTTTGAATCTTATCCATAACATTGTTGTTGATTGTATTTTCAGATAAAGATTTATCAAGTGCTAGACCCTGTCAATTTATATTCAATAAATGGATTAAAACTTTTGGATGCCAGGAGAGTAAGTGCATTAGCGCATGGATGGTATGTGTTCAATGTTAAGAAAGCAGTCGAGGCCTGGGTGAATGGGACCGCAGAGAATTATGGTAAGTATCACGTGACATCACGTGACTACAGAGGAAAAACGTGTTTTCTTTGGATTAAAAAAATATAATTGCCTCTTAAGAAAATCTACAAATGGTTTTAAATTTATTGAGCTTCATTAGATAGCCTATACAAGTAATATTTAATCTTCTTTATTATACCTCAGGTTTTCTTGTTTCAACAACAACTGTAATTGGTCATGAAGTAAATGGAAGCTACATAAGATTTGCACAACGTCATCAGCATCATGATAGCAAACAGCCTATTCTGGTTGTATACACCGATGATGGAATGTCCCGTCATCCCAACTACATTTCTCCAAACGATGAAGGCAAGTTTGCTCGAATTTTAAAGCAAAATATTCATTGACCGTCTTAACGGACAACAATTATTCACTTAGGAAACCATTAACTAAACTGATGAGTAACATTCGCTTTTAGATAATTCTTTCGCTGACCTTTAATTCACCCGAAAAGGAGGCTTTGCAACATAGTTGGGAAGATCTATTAAGTAGAATCAAACTTCTTTAGGCCATGTTATATAAGTTTTTGCACATTTCAGAACAACAAAAGGACGATTAAAAGGAAATTTCCCAAAATTTATCTAATGATTTGGCCTAAATGCTTTAATTCCAGAATCTAGAGACTGAAGGCACCTTTAGAAATAGATCAGCATCCCGCTCGTGTTTGATTGTGATTTCGAGTCTGTTTTACAATTACCAAGAACATGTGATATTCCTTTGAATAAACACATTCGACGCCTTTTAAAACAAATACTTTATCGGCAGAACGGCATCAAAGAAATAGGTGATATTAACCACACATTTCAGCTTCAATATAAATTGATGGGTTTCCAGATATCGCACCAATTCCGATCAGTTCGGTCTAGCCTCCGCGTACTTTATCGAATGATTTACTTATCTTTTTATTCAAACATGTTAAACAAATAAATAATTACCTAATCATTGAAAGCCATTTTAATTATATCATCTCCCATTTAGAAGCACCTTATTTTCTTAATCCAGCTCTTATAGTGCAAGGGTATGAGAGAGGGAAAGAGAGAGAGAGTTTCTACAAGAATTATTTGAGACTTCGGCAATGTATAGATACAGAAATAAACATCCTGTTTTATCAGGTAGTCAATAATCACTAATTAATTTTCGTAAGGTTATCATTTGAAAAATTAATTAGTTGAATTTTCCATGTCATGTGATTCTCTTGTGTATTTCTAATGTCTAATGTCTGTTTATATTTCGTTTGATCATAACAGTATATTTGTTGTGTCGCACATTTACTTAGTCTAGTACATGGCAGATTGACGGGGGGATCAAAACAAATTCAGGGTCGAATCAGTGACCCTAACTTAATTGGTCGATCTCAATCAAAGGAGAAGATCGGTATCAGATTTTTTGAATAATACAATTTCTCATAATCAAAGATCAATAGATAAACATTCTTAATTTAGTATAGATAAAAAAAAATTGGTGTACTCTACATGTTGACCTTTTCGCTAAGGTCACATTCTTCGCTTCCAAACGTATTTTGAATGTATTACTGCGCCGATGCTATCGAAGAGATTTTCTCTTCAGATAGCATCAACGCTGTATATTTATGGATTCTGAAAAAATATAATGAAAAAAATCATGGCTGATTTTTATCTGGTTGACTCTGTTTTAATTGACAACATCGACAGATCTCAAATATTTCTGATATCTATCAAGTGTAAATCTAGCGACCCTCGTGTTACTATAATAAATACTTAATGACGTAACTATAAAAACTTCACGAAATCTATCTGGTAATTAGTCTAGACAATTTGAACATCTCCGACGCTTCATCTTCGAATGTCACTGATGTGTGATCCATATGACAGATGCGGAATTGTATCAATGTAAGATTTATGTCTACTGAATATAACTGACGAGTGTCACCGTAAGTAGATAAGTAAATCGGTTATTGGGACGGATGATACATTGTAATTAGAGAAAATTGACACTACTCTTGATTTATTTAATTAAGTCGTATAATTCAGCGATAAAAAGTATTTTATCAACATTGCTTGTACACTGTGCATGTATTTAATACATGTATTTATCCTCATATTTTGCTCCATTGCGTAAAAAATGAATAAAACCAATTAACACTAATCCCTCTAATGGGAAGTATTTAACACATATGGAATATAAAATTCTGCATATCAAATCGTACATTTTAATGAACTAATCATAACTGAACCAGTTGTTTCCGGGATTTTTGAATTGAATCCTATATCCGACAGACCTTTCAATAGCTTTGTAAGATTCTCTCATTAGCAATAAAAAAAAAAGGAAAATTCAGTCAATGTCTATCTTTCTATTAATGGGCTCTTCAAGTTTTTTGGAGTCTAGCTGAAAAATTATATTGCCATGCGTCCCGAGACTGTAAAATATAAGAATACGTAAGAATACGTATACCTTTTTCTTGTTTTCAAATAAATTAGATTTTCGGCTTTAGTTTTGTAAAGAGTAAAGCGGTGACAAGAAAATGTTTAATCAACCTTAATTTTTATGCCCTCATTTTTTTTTTTAAAAAAGGGGGGCATATTGGTTGTCGGTCGGTCGGTAAACTAAGTGTTGTCCGCTTAATATCCAAAGAATCCTTTGGGTAACAGATATCAAACTTGGTACTCTGGTACCCTCAAATGACTATATGACCCCTATTGATCTAATGAATAAATGACCGGTACCCTATCGATGTTTAGGCAACAAGGTCAAAGATCAAAGGTCAAACGACTCTTTTACATGTATATAGGAAGATATTGTCCGCTCAGTATCTTGAAAAAAAAACTTTGCTTGACTTGACTCAAATTTAGTACACTGGTACCCTCTAAAAATAAATATAGATGTCTCAAGGTCAAATTACACGGAACTGGTAGATTTCAATATTGTCACACGAGGGACATCGGTGTTTTAAAAGCTTTTCTTGGTTAGTCTTTGTTAGTCTTAGGAGAACAAGAGATGGATTATAATTATGTTCAATGGACTCGGCATTTGGATATAAAATGTACTGGTCCACAGATAAATGACTGATTAAAAGTAACGTAAAATAGTATGCAATTAGTTAAACTTTCTCACTTTTTTCTCTTTCAGACTATTTGCAAATAAAAAAGGACATTATGAAAAAAGAGAGAGCAAAGCAACGGAATTTCCAACAAGTTGTGAAACTTCTAAACGAGAGAGAAAGAGACGAATATTACCGTGAGCATCTTCAAAAACTTTTGGGAACATCAACATCAGAATCCATAAGGAAAAAAAGAAACACTGATGAACAATCAAATAAACGTAAAATAGTGAAACCACCTCGAAAAAAGCGAAAGCGTTCGAAAGAGGAACGCAAGAAACGCAGAGAAGAGAGGAAGAGGCGGAAGAAGAATAGAAAAGGAAAGAAGGGAAAAGGAAAGCGAGCTTTGGATTTCCGGTATCGCAAGAGACGAGGTTGTGCAAAACACGAAATGTATGTTGACTTCGATGAAATAGGGTGGTCGGGTTGGATTATTTCGCCAAAGGGATACAATGCATATCATTGTAAAGGTTCGTGCCCTTTCCCTTTGGGTCAAAGTCAGAAACCCACGAACCACGCCACAGTCCAGAGCATTGTGCATGCTCTCAAAGTAGGAAAAGATGTCTCTACTCCATGCTGCGTACCAAACAAACTCTATTCAATAAGTCTACTTTACTTTGATGACGATGAAAATGTTATCCTCAAACAATATGACGAAATGGTCGCTGCAAGTTGTGGATGCCACTAAGGAAATACGTATACACAAGATCCGACGAGATATTGCAGGTCCGGCCAATTATTGCAATCTTTCGTTGCTCCAAAATACGTGTAGTGTATCAATACGCGTAAGAATGCGTAAAGAGCAGACCATGATTTTGAGAAAATTGGCGAAAAAATAATGACGAGATTTTGCGTTGTGATAGGAGTTTATTGGCTCTCCATTTAAAAAGATGTGTGTGAAAATAGTTTATAATTGATTTTTATGGTGAAAATTCCAACATTCTTAAGAGAAATCTGGTCGACGACATTTGATGGGAGCATAAAATCAATGGTGTATTAAATTCATAAGGTGTAAAGTAACTTTGTGTGGAGAAAGTCTTCCAGTTGATAGGATGAATATTGACTATATAGAGCAGTACATGATGTGGAAATCGGCACGGGAACATTCTTAGTGAAACTGTTCTCTTATATAAAACTCAATGAGATTAAATGGCGAAAGTCTGAATGTATTTAATGTAATTTGAATGAATGAGAGAGAGAGAGAGAGGCATATTGTGGGTGATTGTTTGTCTGTGTGTGTGAATTCTTTATATTTCATACACTGTCATCAGAAAATGTGTGTTAGATTGTTCTACGGTCTTACATATATTTATCAATCACAGCTCTGAAACTTTCGTAAACGTCTTTACTTTCTGTAAAAAAGGTATTATAAAAATAAGTTTTTGAGACTTGCGGTTTTCATATAAGAACAGGATATATAGAGAATTTCTAAATGAGGCTCAGTAATCGAACTTTGTGGAAGGCTACCAAGAATGGTAAGACTAGCTTAGGACTTAGGTATTGAAAAACACGTTCACATTCCTTATTATACTCTTCAAGTAAAAGGACATAAGGGTCAAGGCAAAGATGGCGTTTCTTTTTTTTTTTAATTTGTGAATCACGTGATTGAGTGTGAGAGATTTTCATTACTCACGTGTTCACAATCAGATTGAGAGAGAGACTTAAATGATGTTTTCTTGTTGCTTGAAGATATTTTTATTATTACTCTGTTTTTTTGCTTAACGTAAACAATTATTTTTGTAGCTAAATATATGTCTGTATTTGCGACGTAACGACTGTTGGTTGTCTGTGTTCTGAAATCAAGGATGTGTTTTCATCATTAAAAAAAATGTTCAAAGCTGTATTTTGCACTTCAGTGTTTGAACCAATTGTACGCAAACTCCAAAAAATAATGTTGTTATTATTGTATATAAATAAAAAATTGAAAGCTATCAGATTGTCATAAATTGCTGGTGGCCGACAGTGGCGGTTCATTGCAAAGTGTCTGGTGCATGATGGGAGCAGACGAACAGATCATCAAAGCAGACGATATTGTATGAACCAGGACGGATTAAATGTTTCAAATGTTCATAGTACTGATTACAAAAGTACAGGTATGTCAAACATTTGATGGGATTATTTAAAATCAATTACATCGACATTTATAATCAGATAAATCGAAACTTTACCCAAATCAAAAGGTTTGATGTTTCCATCTAGGCGCCATCCTTGTGAAATAATTTCATTATAAAATAATTTCAAGTCCACAGCACAATATAATTCGTAATCCTGTGTGATATTTTCCTCGTTGGAGACCATGTAGACATTCTTTGAAAATTTAAACCAGATTACAAATGTAATAAAATATCAAACACATGTCGTAATTAATAAAATTAAATTCTCATACGCCTAAAATGTATCATTGTTAGATGTTGTTGGACAAGACATCTCTCTCCACAACCGTACCCCCCGCTATCGGTAAACATATACACCTATGTGACATGTCTTTGAATTAAGAGCATAGGTATTTTAACAATAAACGAAGTTGCATTAGGAGTTATTACCTATAGATAAAATTTGTTAATTGCAATACCTTTGGCCTGTTACATTAGATCACTCATCTCGAAACAAGAGCATGGACTAGATTTCAACTACTAATGGCCTAGTGATTTTGGCCCATACTATAGGACACCGAGCTTAGATGATTATATTCATGTCATGAGAAACAAACATTTTTAAGTCTGAAATCATTCCCGTAAACAATCAAATAGTAATATTTATTATGAAGCGATTGGTATGCGTAATGCTCAGATGTATATTTACTCCGTTGCAACCTTTACTCGTAATAAATAAAACAGATATATATATATATATATATATATATATATATATATATATATATATATATATATATATATATATATATATATATATATATATATATATATATATATATATATATATTTATCTATCGTGTTTTAGTTTTTTCCCGAAACAAACATAAACGAATTAATGTTTTTCCAATGTTTTTTCCAAATTGAAAACAATTTTACTCTCACTTCGATTGGTATCAACAATCTTGTTATTTCCGGAGGAAGATATTTAGAAAAATCAAACTATCTGTATCCGAATTCTATCCGAAATAGTTAGTATATAAAAAATTGTGAATTTTTGTATTTTTTTCTATATAATATTTTATGGAATCTGCTACCATTAGAGCTTCAATATGGCCGATATGCAAATGAGTAGAATGAACGCCATTTCTCCATATGATACCAATGTCGCTATTTTTTGCATTATATCTCAAAATACATAAATACTTGGGCTTTCGAAGTAGTTTCGATCAGTAGATCATTTTTCCCCTCCTACTTTATGCTTAAATAGGGGCCCCACGGGTTCATCTAGTATATTGACACATCAATATACATGTACACATGTAAGTGATTTGTCGTTGCTTGCCGTAAATAATGTAATGATGTATATACGTTCGGTATCAAATTTTACATGTACACGCGCTTGACAGCAATGGCAGAAATTTAGATCGAAATTTCCGTAATTTGATTCCGATAGTGTACTAAATCATTGCATTCCGGCAGTAACGGAAAATCACGAATTATGATGTTTCCGAAGTGGCAGTCTTAATTAAGTAAAATCCCCGCAATCTTTGAATTTGCCGCCGTGTTGTATGCAAGTTGAACTCGTCTTCCTATCAAAGCACAAAAAAAAATGCAAATTATCAATTGATCGAATTAACCTAGATTGAAAACATGAGCATTTGTGTACTTTCAGATATAATGCAAAAAGTGATGACATTGGTACCATTGGACAGACGGACAAAATATGATATTGTGAATCAAATTCTGGTCTTGTCTTCAGATATCCCTTCACTAGAATGGATGTGTAAAATCATCTAAATCCGTATTAATGTCAGTTTTATTGTCAGCAACCATTGATTAATTTTCATTCAGTTCTTTTTAATCATTATTTATTTATTTATTTTCTATCTATTGCAGTACTGTGGTTTCACATTTTCTACACTATTTTCAAAATCTGGTGAAAATTTTATCCAAGTACAGCGACGGTTTTGATTCTAACTGTTTCAACTGCATCCAGTCCACAATTAAGTTTCGTTGCTAAAACATACAGTATGTACTGCTGTTGTTACAACTGCCTCAATTGACCAACAACTCGGGCACAAAATATCCCATTAATCTGAGGATTGCCGATGGCATCTATAGAATGTTCGTATATATAACATATGAATTACACAACTGCACTGGGGCATGTGGCTTTGGGGAGATCTGGCTGACAGTATCTGAATTTAAGAGGATTTTTTCCCTAAATTTTTTTTCACTTTCACCGAGTGCATTGCAGTTTAGTTCCTGGAAGTCAACTTTCTACATTAAAAAGTCTGGTATTGAACAATTTTACGTCGGGCACGATTACTATATTTGATGGATGGGACTTTTTTAAAGCTATTGGAGGATAAAGAGGTACTTCACTAAATAAATCTGTGTAAAAACAAAGAGAATATAAGTAATATATCAATAGAAAAAAAGGTTAACATATGCTGCAGGACAAAACTTTAATAAACAGTATAATCTAATACAAAAATATAGTCAAACGACACAAATACACCAACCTCAGTCTTTTAGAAAAACAAAAAGAAATTAAAACAAAGAAGTTGAGAATTGAGAAGAGAGGACGTTGCGTACAATTTGGGCGTTTAATTGCAAAACGTGTAACACTAAAAGACGGGTGCTAGTAGTTTTTTTTTAATCATTTTATTTCGTTTTTGGCTACATGGATTTATTTTTTTTCGCCAATTTGCACAAAGCTTCTATACCGTCCTGTGATAGTGTACAGAATTCATTAATTAATTTCTAATAATCGTCGATTTCGACTGTTCATATAAGTTAATAGCATTCCGTAATATACCTTGATTTTGATAAGTAACGAAGGAGAGATTGAATGGTTGGTAAAGAATGTTTACTATATAACAAGTTCTTTTGGTAAAACTAAAGTGATAAATGGAATGTGCAATTCAAGAGGTAGAAGACACATGTTTCTTTGAAAAGTTATAGGTAAGTATTGGGAGACATTAGTGGAGTGATTTTGATGTCTAGTCGGTTTTGTTACTACCGCGTAATAAATAAGCGTATTATAATATTTTACGAGAAGTATAATCATAGATGTGAGCTCTTTTCTGTTTTGTTATAGATAAAATCTTATTTCGACATGTGCATATAAATAAAATTTTATATTAAAAAAGAGAAAGAAGTTAAACCTTTAAAAAAAATAGAGCAAAAAATGTCTAGTCTAATTTGATACGCTTTCCATTTTTGACGTTTTCGCACTTAGACAAGGTAAGGACAAAAATGGATTTCTTGCACACTTGCCATTTTTAAGGGAAATACAAACCTGTCATCAGCAGAAAAAAGTAATAATAAGTAAAAAGAAATCTTAACCGGTATTCTAGAATAAGAAAGTAAAAAAGACATATTTTCTTGAAAACTTTTTTTATATTATCCACTTACATGTATATTACGTGACAGTTAATCATTCGAATGCTTGTCACGCACATGTACATGTATACAGGCAGTTGTTACGGAAAAGGCCCGTGAGAAGCAATCTCATGGGGGCACAACCTAAAATGAGGGGTTTTTTTTTTGGGGGGGGGGGGGATGGGGAGCATTTCCAAGCAAAAATTTCTTGACAAGAAAAAAAGTCATGAGATGTAATTGTTGAGGGGCACATCCATAAAAAAGCTTTGTTTTCTTTAGTTTACTGTATCTCGGTGAAATTACTGGGGGCACGGATGATACCAAAACATCGATTTCAGATAAATTCGGGTCTTTGTATATATCCTTTTTAAAAAAAGTTATAGCTACCATATCCCCATTCAAAATTAAAACAGGTACATAGTTAAAATAAGGTGATCAAAACCTGCATTAATTGATGTATTTTAAACAGTTAAAAAAGTCCTTTTTGAAACAATCACGCATTCAAACACGATTTCTTGGACACTACGAAAGTTCACAGCACGACTACATGTATCTGACAAACAGTTAAAGCGTAACTTGGCCAGAATCAGACGAATTCTGAAAGATTTAAGACCATTTGTCGAAACATTTACTCCCTTCCCATCATCTCCAAGTTTGGATTCCCCTCCTACAGGCTTAAAAAATCAAACTAACATAAAAAAAAACTAAAAAAAAAATCAAAAAGAAAAGAAAAAAAAAACAATAAAAAGATAAAAAAAACCTGTCAATTTGCTAGTGCCTGTAAGAGTTTTAAAAAGGAATGGGAGTGACAAAGAGAAAAGGCTTTCACAAACGCAGTGTACAAAGACAAGTCAAAACATACCGAAAGAGATCGAATAAAGGAGGACTGCATTTAAATTGTTGTTTTTTAGCATACAGCAACGAGATATTTAAGACAAAATGATCATGCAAAAAGATTGGTGCACAGATTGTTCCCTCTGTTGTGTCAAGAATAATTTAGGATCACATACTTTAAAAATTTCAGTGTACATGTCACAATACTTTACGAAATGTAGACAATTTTTATTGACTTTCTAACTGACTGAAATACATGTTCCGAATTGATGATGGCTAGTTAGATAAATTGAACTTAGACTGGTCATACAATGCTAAAATTGAAATTTCTGTTTTATTTTAGATATAGGGTTCATAAGTAACTAGTTGCAATTACGTTAGTCCTTTTGTTTTCCAGTATTAAAAGCTTAAGATAGAAGAGTTCTTTCAACGTTAATTGATTGAATTTATTCCATCTCACGGAATGTCATCCATGTTTAAATGTTTTGCATTACTGGATTCATGAAATTTCCTGGGAAAAAAGAGTGCTTGAAAAAAAAAATGTACACCTTAATGTAGAAGACAACTTTTTGAACACCCAAAATAGGCGTCTTGCCATTTTCAATGCTACAAAGGTGTTCCTCATGAAAGAATTACGGGTATTTAGGTTTCCAATTTGGTTACTGATGTCCATAAATATGATTACAACAACACAGTTCAAAGCAAAGTTCTGATTAATTTGACAACATAAAACTTGGATCTAGATTATTGTTGCGTTTTTATAATGGTCGGGATAAATAAAATCGAAGTATCTCCATAATTTGTGAAAGGCATTAAACGCCAACGAGTATCAATCTAAGACCTTTTATAATGCGGATTTATTTAGTTTTTCTCCTCTATGATCCTACTCGGGGTTATCATAATTTTTTTTTATCTTTTTGTAGTGCGAAGATAATTTCAGATTTGGAAATGATTGACAAAGCGCAGAGCTTGATTCCGATAAGGGTGCGGGGGAAGACGGAATAGTGCTGATTAATTAAGATAATCGAGTATTTCATCCTCTTTTAGTTGATCGCGATAGAAAAAAAAATATTCCAGTTTATGCGCGCCGAACAACCGCGTTACAAATAAAACATAGCACGATAAATCCAGTGAAGGAAATATTACATTAAGGAAACTTCCGAGCTCAATTATTTATATACATTAACGTAGAATTTAATCATGGTGAAAATATCGCAGTCACAAATTATTAGTAGATTGTTTCAATAAGAGGTCCATGGACCACAACACTCACCTGACTCATTAATGACCCTGCTGTTCATCAGCAGCCCCCCTCCCCCCTTCCCCGTACATTCCTTTGTAAAATTGTGATCTCCTATTGTGGCCCCATCCTAGCCTTGGAGGTCATGATTTGAACAAATTTGAATGTACACTACCAGAGGATGTTTCCATATAAATACATGTATAACTTATCATGGATTTTTTCCCCCTATATACTCCTATGTAAAGCTTTGATTGCTCATTGTGGCTCCACCACCACCACCCCCACCCCCTGTCATAATTTGTACAAAATTCAATCTACACCACCTGAATATGTTTTCACATAAACATGTCTAATCATGGAATTGCTGTTCTTAAGAAAAAGATTTCAAAAGATTTTTCCTATATGTTCCTACATAAAAATGTAATTGGCCATTGTGGCCTCATCCTATCCCCGGGGGTTACGATTTGAACAAATTTGAATCTACACTACCTAAGGATGCTTTCAATTTATAAATAAGACTAACCAATGCTTTTCTGTTCTTGAGAAAAAGATTTTCATAGAATTTTTTCCCTAGATATTCCTATGTAAAACTTTGATCACCCATTGTTTCCCATCCTATCCCCCGGGGGTTTTGAATTGAACAAAATTGAATCAACGCTATGTAATGAAGCTTTCACATATGTTTCATCTTTTTTGGCCAATTGGTTCTTGAGAAGTAGATTTTTGAAAGTTGTCGTTAAATTTTTACTAAATCTTATTTATCTCCCCTTGAAGAAGGACGTGGTCCTTCATTTGAAGAAACTTGAATTCCCTTCACCCAAGAATGCTCTCTGCAAAGTTTGATTGAAATTGGCCCATCCGTTCTAAGAAGAAGATGACATTGTGAAAGTTTACGACAACGCGTACGTCATTGCCAACGACAACGGACAAAGATCAGAAAAATTCACTTAGGCCTTCGGCTAAGATGAGCTAAAAAGACCTTTTAATTAATTTTAATGTATCTTTAATTTCATTCTTATAATCAGTATCTGGGTTTACTTTCAATGCTTAGACTTTTCGATGACACTCAAAAAGCAAAGTCCCTCTCAGTAAGATGCATCTAACCATGAGAATTCCTTATTCAATATGAAACTCTTTGCTTTTATTTATCAGTTCTGCAAAACTATAACACCTGTACTGCACAATTCAACTTTTTTTAAAAAAAAATATCCAATTATTAATAAGGTAAGAAAAAAAATTACTCTGAATTTTTGGGGTTGTTTTCAATTCTCACATCATCACTAAGAATATGCGATAAAAAATAATCATATGCACGTGTATTACACGGTTAGGAAAGAGCAGTCAATCAAAACCATGTAGAAAAAAGCAGATTATGAAGTTTAGTCGTAAATTTTACACACAATTAAAACGGGTGATCTATTTTAAGCGTAAAATGTTATAATAGAACCTTAATCTTATCATTCCGTCATAAGACAAATGGGATCATCCTTAGAAAGTCGTTATTTATCTTTTTTGTTTTCTTTCAAAGCATTTAGAACTTCATTTCCTTGAAATAAACAAAAATCTTTCGACCAATGACTCACAGAGAACGCTCATGAAAAGACATAAATCTTACTGTTTCATAATTTTTATGAACTTCAAAACATAAATTATTAAGTGAAGATTTTCTTTTTAAAAACTTCTATTTTGATGAATAGACCACAGGACAACTCGACACTGTGATCACAGAGAGCGGGATTGAAGTGATGACCTTTGTGACCACGTGACCTACAGTCGTCTGCGATCCCAGACGACAATTCACATCCAACGACAACTAATTGTTATTCTTCAAAAGCTTCAAAATGTCGCTAAAAGTGAATAAAATTGTTAATAAAGTGTTTTGTTGCCGAGAACATCAACATATCAAAACCTTCATAGCAGAGGTGGAGACATTACGATTTTTTCTCCTAGTTTTATCAATTTTTTGCGGGGTAACCACGCACGGAATGCAAAATATTTTACTACAATGAAAAGGACGCGCGTACATATCTCTTCAATCACCATCCCACCTAACGAAACAATATTGTATCTATTATCAATATATTGAATAAAGATATAGAATATCATTTTTAATACGTAATATCCGGGTTGCTGATTAGGCAGAATTTTTCTGATTTGTAAAAAGAAGCGTTTAGAATTCTTTACAAAATTAAGTTTGCTTTCTACAATCCACCCTTGGCAATAAAAGAAAACTTACACACATGGTCAACATTTCCTCATTTATTACAGATAGGAAACATACATTTATCATCGTCACACGCATACTTAATCCATTCAGACCGCACATCCACTAGAAACACTAGAAAAAAAAAGAAAAAAGAACGATACACTCAGGTAATGAGAGTCTAGAAAAATAATGAAAATAATCCGAAAACTTATATTCAGATATATTGACTACAGTAAACGTTACCTCTGTCATTCAATTTTGATATTTCTGTATTTCATAGGAAATCTGGACAAGACTTTGTTGATCACGGTGGGCGGAAATTTTTCTCTCCCATCTGAACCTTTGATCGGTTTTATCACAAACTTGTTGGCTTTTACCACTCGCTCGTATGCCTGAAAATTCAGTTAAGTGTTCATGTATATTGATTCAGATCATTGCTTATTAGCAAGAGAAAAAAAAAAAACTTGGTAATTTGTTTTAGCTATATTTGGTATTTGACATGCCTACATTCATGCAAATGGTTGTATCAAATTTTAATACTGAGGAAAAATGTTGCAGTCTTAATAACAAACAGTATCATAAGGTTTTTTTTTTTTTTTTTTTTTTTTTTTTTTTTTTTTTTTTAATTTAAAAAAAAGTAACTAATCAACACAACATCACAAAGTCGTGTATATATTTAATTTGGAGATCTTAGCAAGCCCGTATTTCATCACTGCAACAGAAAAACGTCAACAAATTTCTAATAGAAACCTCACTTTGAATATACATACATTTATATCCACAGAAAATAAAGTAAGGTGAAAGATAAATTTGTAGAATTAAAATTCTGGTCCAGGTGTGCATACATCAGGTGATTAAGTCCAGGTGGCAGTGTATTAGCTACATACAGATCTGACATGAATGTCATCTCTTGGATTTTCATACTCCAAATTTAATTTATATAACAGAGAAGTCGAGGCCCTCCCCCATCCCAACCAAAAAAATAAATTAATAAAAATAAAATAATTTCAAAAAATATAATAAAAAAAACAAAACAAAGAAATTAAAATATTTAACATTTGTGTGTATTTGAAATATTGAAACAAAATAATCCATCGAAGTATTAATTACATGCCAAAATATCTCTTATCATTCATTGCCTTTCTAGGACATTTACCATATTTACCTCTTTGGAGACTACTTAGAGGACACTTACTATTGCTTTTCTAGAGGACACTTACCATTGCCTTTTAGGAGGACACTTAGTATTGCCTTTTTGGAGGATACTTGCTATTGCTTTTATAGAGGACACTTACCACTGCCTTTTAGGAGGACACTTACCACTGCATTTTTGGAGGACACTTACAATTGCCTTTCTAGGGGACACTTACAGTTGCCTTTCTAGAGGACACTTACAATTGTCTTTTTGGAGGACACTTACCATTGGCTTTATAGATGACATTTATAATTGCCTTTCTAGATAGGACTTGTCATCGCCTTTTTGGAGGACTCCAGGACACTTACTATTGCCTTTTTGGAGGACACTTACTATTGCCTTTTTGGAGGACACTTACTATTGCCTTTTTCATACATGAATTATAGCTGAGTATCTCTGCTTCACAGGGTGATTCATTGTAAGCTGCTTTCTTCAGACAGGCAAGCATATTCTGTAACTCTGTATTACAATGGCCATCTGCAATCAAAGGAAGATAACTCCAATTTCATGTATGCTTTTCCCATCAAGTTTCAAAAAACCCCAAAAACTATGAAAAATTTAAAAAAAACCTTAAAGTTTCTGATAGAGAATTGTATCTCTACTCGTTTGTACTTAATATATACATGTAGTAGGCAGCACCTGGATTTGAAACACTTTTTGGGGGCAGAATAATGCATCCTGGTGTTTTTTCTAATTTGGTACCATACTCTCACATAAACTTCTCTGGTTTCTGACCAGTAGAGCTATAATACAACTAGATGTTGTACAGATGCCCCCCCCCCCCCCCCTTAACCGTATCTTTCATTGTTACATGTATATTGTTAATCATCAGATGTGACTGTTGACTCTAGATCCCAAAGTATTGACACACTTGAGAACAACATAGTAAAGTTTCAATATTCCAAGTTATATAGCCTAAACACAACTTCTGATTACCGGTATTAGCAAACATAAGTTGGGATATATTTCAATCAGAGATTCTAGAGTTATCACCTTGAAACCATTTCACTCGCCATGCCCATATACAGTACACTTACTACTGCCTGTACAATCTTATTGTCCAGTGATAGTGACCTTTGAGTTTGACTAAAAATCCAATTTTTAAACAAATACTTTATGTAACTAAATTTTGAATCCATGCCATCAAGAGTTTTAGCCCTAAGACAATTTTACAATCTAAATACCATGTAAATCTGATTTTTGAGAGGGACCTTTAGTCAATTAGGATCTGAAACAGGGCATCCATATACTGTAGTTCAATTTTTTTTTCCAACCAAGCCTTAACAGATATGTCCTCTCCTGTTGTTGGAGGCATAATGATGCAACAAAATGTTATATGTGTCTACCTTTGTCTAGAGAAAGGTCATCACCACAGTGAGAATATGTCCAATATAGTTGCAATGTAGCTAAATGGAGGGATTTGCTATGGCACAATTTTGAAATTTATGGAGTTACATTGTAAATAAACACCAAATTCAACTAAAAAAACCTTTTTGATATTTATGTACCTTCCATCCCCAAAAATTAGCCTTTATAGAACTAGAGGAAAAATTAAACACAGTTTCTCAACTTTTTTTCACTTTTGTTCAAGATGCCCAATATTGACAATTTGAACCCTTGTTCATACTTCAAATGTAGATTATAATTACCTGTCCCTGTATATTTTGCTAATACCTGTATGCCAACATATTCTTACATTAAACTGTAGGACAATACAATTTTACCAGTAGAATATTCTATCTAGATATGTAGTTGTACTACTGGGTAAATTGTAGTCCAGGGATCAAAATTAATGGTTGTCCTATTGTAGGGCAAGTAAATTCTTAGTTCAGGCAAGTGAAACTGTAAACACACTTGTCTGATTGGGCAAGTGAATATTTCTGAGAGAAACATGTACTGTACTTTATCTATTAATAGCTTACATTAGTTTATAAATAAAACAATAAATTGAACACTTGATATCTCTAGGAACATGACTGCCAGGAATTGTTTTGGCATTTAGAATTCTATAGTAGTGTTTCAAGATTATACAGTTCTTTCAAAAATTTGGTTCATTATTCTGTTTACTTTTATGGCAAATACGCTCTAGTAGGTCTGAAAACTCTGTTCCCTACTTATTAGGAAATTAGATTAGATTCACTCACAGAATATAAATAACACAATGTACATGTATTCTGATCAAGATATTATGTTTCACAGCAACTGTCTATTTAAGTATTTTTAAAAACATGAACTTTATTCTAAATGAAACAGGTTTTTTTGCTGCATGACAGTGTGAGTTCACACGTTGAAATGACAAGGACAGTGGTATACGACATGTACAAACATAGCATTGACATTTTTGTCTGGGAGCGCAACTAGCCAGTAGTGTATCTGGTCACACTTTTTCCTTATCATAACATTTACAGTAATAAATTAAATTATTCTTTATTTCTTAATTTTGGGCAAACCAAGTTTCAAATTTGGACAGGTCAAACCCTGTAGTCTTAATGTGGAATCTATGTAGATACTTAAAAACATTTACAGTTTATACATTTCTTAATTTTCTTTACTCTGGTATATATATGATTCTTTATTCGCACACACAGAAAAACTCTCTGCTTTGATCGGGTGTTACAGCTCTGACTGGAAAACACAGATACAATATTAGTTCGAATTTTCTCATTACTAATGACATTAGTTCATTAGCCAATAACTGAATGAGTTAAGACAAATACACTAATTAACTTTTCAACTCAAAAACTTCGTCAAAGATTAAATAATTTTTAAATATGCCAATTTATTGCAACTGACTTGTTAAAACAATATTATATTAATTGCATTCATTACTTACCAAAGCCAGTAATGTCTTTGTTTGCGATTTTATTCCTTAAAGCGGGAACTCCCGCAATCCTAGCTTTTGGGGCTCGGGGAAGCTGTCCTTTTTTCCAAAAAGGAGAAGGTCTCTTTGCTAAAACCTGTGTTAAAAACGGCATAATGTCTGCCGAAATAAATCTTGTTTGGAAAGTTCACATTGACTCTAACACGGATATGCTTATCGGTCGTTAAAATAATAAATAAAAACGGTACAAATGACAAAATCCGGATTGATAATGGTAGTACAGAGAGATCAGTTATTCTTTTTCGAGAAGTGAACAGGCATAGCATCCATGGATGTACATAGCTATGCCTGTCCATTTTTCTAAAGAGAATCATGCGCAGGTCTAGGGTAGAAATTCTTTAGTAAATTAATTTGTTTTAACAAAAAGTGATCTAATAGACATGGCAGACTGGTAGAGGCACTGGTATATACTTGTGGACGGGACCCCCCCCCCCCCCCTTATGTTCCGTACCCCAAGTGTTCTCCGACTTTTTTTATATAAATTATTTTTCTATGACACATTCACAAAGTATTACAATTGAAAAATCCAAAAATATAACCTAAAACTAACCTTTTGTAAAAATTCATACTCTCTGATACTAAAGGTATCAGAACCGCTGCATTTCATTTCCGGAATTTCGCATAGCATTTCCGACAATTTTTACTTTCATTTCCGGAATTTTTGCAGGATACCTGTCCGGTAATTTAATGTTTACCAAGTAGATGGAAATGAAATTTTAAAAGAATTAATTTCAAACCACATTTTCAAAACATGCCTTAAAATTTCTTCCTAACATATCTGATTCCAAACTTAAACTGAACGCTTAAAAAGAAGATGAGCAAAAGTTCACGAAACTTACAAGTGCCTCAGAGAAAGAAAAAAAATCTTTATATTAATTTTCATTGATAGCTAAGCAAATCTCATTATTTGGGTTTCAATGATTCATTCATGATTTATTCTTTAACATTTATAATTACATGTATAAGTGAAGTCTTCAATCATGCTTTCATTGCCGAAGGTACTACATGTACCAGAAAAATGTCGGAGACGAAAACTTGAAAATGTCGGAAATGAAAAATTGAAAATTTCAAAAAATTCCGGAAATGAAATGCAGCCATCAGAACGGGGGGGGGGGGGGGTCTCGTCCACAAGTACCTGTGGGTAGAGGCACATTCATAAGACACCTGTGCCCTGCGTTTGAAAAGGACAAGAATTATTTGCCTTTGCTTCAAGTAAAAAAGGTGGTGATGATTGGTGATGATTGACGACGCGATAAGACATTTATAATCTTGAAAAGCAGGAGGGGACTGGGTCCCTTTGAGCCCCACCCCACCTCCGTTTTGAGGTGAGAAAAATTTGATTTCTTATTTGGTTAAAAAAAAGAGTCTAGGATAAATTAAAACATGTATGATATTGATATAATATTATATCATATATCAAATAAGAAAATTATCTTATAAAATATTTCGTACGCATGTTTTAGAGTGACATGAATTTTATTTTTCAGTCACACTGATTTAAAAATGCGTTTATAAGGCCATCTTTAAAAAATTGTTTGGTTGCCCTCTCCTGACTGGCTTAAAATGGCCCGACTCAAAACTTTTTTTAACCTCCAGCGAACAATTATTTTTTTCATGCACACCGGAAAATAGATTTTGAAAATTCGGCATTGATGTTGAAATTTTCTGGGGGAAAAATTTCCCCACCTACCTACCCACCGAATTTTTTCATCCTGAGTCGGGAGAGGGCAAACAAACATTATTTTAAAGTTGGCCTTAGTTTTAATTCAATTATCAAGGTCCATTATTTTTATTGCTATATACAAATGGTTGATTTTACTACTATAAATAAAATATTCTGGTTTTGACAAATGCAAGAAGATCCTGTCAATTATATATAACAAAAATGGAAAAAGCCATGAATTTAGCCGACACCCGTCCATGTCACGATCCCTCACTTCATGGTACAATTGCTCTGATTCCTTTTAATTAAAACAGAATTGTGAGATCAAATAACATTTCATGCATCACCTTTCTACCCTAAACATAGAATTATACAGAGGCCATTGGCTTATATTACATTTATAAAACATTTATTCATTATTATTACATTTATAAGAATAAAAAAAAATTGATGTATAATTTGAATGCACAACTCGTTTTGCAACAAAAAGGAAGAACCAATAAAATTACAGCAAAATGTTGGTCATTTACATATTATTTTCCCTCAAATTTGATTAAAAATGATCAAATATCTAATATATAGAAACATGAACTCAATATAAGTAATATGTATTAATACTGGAATATAATTAAACAACAGAGAAATAGTGGAAAGAGATTAGGAAGCATAATTTATATGAATACTTGAAAGAATAACTAGAATAATTGCTTTTGAAAATTAAATGTTATGCCCAAAGGAGGAAAGTCGAGAGCATAAGGTTTTTAATTGTCCTGTTTGTCTGCAGAAATATGTTTTAGTAGAAGCTTAGCGACTTGCGTCCTCACATTGCTACTCGAGGACTCGAAATGCGAATCCCGAATTTAATTCTCGATCCTGAATAGAGCCGGGTCAAGTCTTCTAGACATTTCACATAGGTTGTTTGAAATTTAAATCAATTAATTAAATCACTGTCTCTCTCTCTCTCTCCTTTAAATTCTTTTAAAATTATATATTAGGCCCGCATGTAAATAGTATAGGCTATTCGGGAAATATTGTTTACATCAAAGCTTCATGGGTCAAGTTCGAGGCATTTATGTTTAACTAAACAATACATAGACAAAATGGACTGCAATATGACTGATTTTACATAAAATTGTAAACCTTATCTATGCGATTACAAAAATATGATGAATATTCTTCAATTCAAACTTTCTGTATGATAGCGCTACCAGTTATATAAGGTGTACATGTAGAATGGTCTGTCATTGTCTCGCTTAGCACAATATTGTGTGCTTGTTTTGATTAATTAATAATTTAAATGTTTGCTTGTTTTTGTTTTTAAGGAAGATATTTACTTAGTTTATCTTAAGCTGTAACTTTAACTTGAATAGATCTATGGAATATCATTTTATACAGGCGCGATCCAGGGTTTTTTTTTCCAGGGGGCCACCCCAGTCAAGAAATTTCCAACCCAGAAATTTCTTGACAAGCAAGGGAAAAAAACGTTAAGTCCTTTCCCAAAAGTAAAAACAAAACCTATTTCGTGGGGGGGGGGGGGGGGGCAATCTGATTAAAATCAGATAAGACTATCCGAAATTCTGATAGTCGCTGTAACAAAGATCTGATTTTAATCAGATTGGGGTGGGGGTTGGTTTGAATGTTGGCCGAATCACTTCATTTCTTAAGCTTCATATGTATAACTTTTCCTACCAACTAAACAGGGGTCCAGGTTTTCTAAAAAGGGGGGTCCAAAGTCTTTTTATTTTTTTTGCTTCAGTATATACATTTAATAACTCTGCAAATTCCAGGGGGTCCGGACCCCCTCTAGATCCGAGCATGTTGTATTTTCTTTATGTTAAGGAACGACAACTCTGCTGAGGAAATGAAGATGATGTGTATGACGTCATAATGTCACACGACGTAACAGTTAAAGTGACGTAACAATATTGTTACTACAACAAAACTTGGATAGATATGTCGGAGGTAGGCGTTTACATGATTAAAATATTTTACTGTTATTTATTCCAGACTGTAACTAAAGTTAGTTCATTTTCAAAATTTACGATTTTATTTTCATAACTCCTTTGTAGAAAACAATGGATCTTCTAGATTTTGGGGAGGAGGCAGTTAAAGATGTGGTAGGTAGAAGTTATCCACTAAATTTTTTTGTAGCTTATTGAGACGTGTATTGTTGCAACAATAAACTGTTACGCATAGTTGCAACCATGTTGTCTTTCTGTAAACAAGACGTTGTACTTTGGAATATACATCGACAGCGTTTTACAAGTGAATGCAAACATGCCCCCTTTCTTTATGTGATTAACATTTAGCAGAGTTCACTGAAGCAGTATCGAAATAGCAGATCGATTAAAATGGGACAATGCCACTTTACATGTATTAAGCTTTTACTCTATGTCTGATCTACACGTAATGTGTTTATTTTAAAATAATCGATCTATGTCTTTGGAAACTAGTAGAATTCTTGTTATTATATGAGGAAAAGATTTTTGACAATATAATTATATACTTTATATTTCTGATTTACTTCCTAAATTTGCAGCACTGTGTTTTTTTAGGATGCTAAACTGGCAATTCTAAAGTTCGGATATAGTTGGGTGGGTGAGGTGGAGAGAGAAGAGAGAGCGATTAAGGTAATAAATGTAAACTGTATGACATTATTGTGTATGACGTCACGATATCGAACGTAACAGTTAATGTGACGAAACAATTATCACTACAACAAAACTTGGATAAGTAAGTCAGAAGTAGGTTTATTTACATGACTACAATGTTATTGTTTCCATACTGTAAGTTGGTTAAATTACTAAATACGTTTACGATTTCATATTTTATTCTTTGTAGAAAACAATGGATCTTTTAGATTTTGGAAAGGAAGCCGTAAAAGACATGGTAGGTAGAAGTTATACGAAAAAATTGTTTGTAGTTTATAGACATATTGCTGCATTAACAATGAATTTGGGATATGATGGTTTCATTTACGTGGGCATTCTTCGAACCGACATCATTCCGACTTTGTCAAACAGCTGATGTATAAGCATGTTCCATCTTTTAAGCAATTAACTAAAGTTTTGGCCCTCTACATAATCTTTTATTCTATGTCTGATATATTTTTTCTTACAAAATGGAGCTATTTCTCTTGGAACTGTAAGAAATTCTTTGTCTCCCTTTTATTAATGAATACATGTATATCTAAGAGAAAGATTTTTAAGCATACATGTACTTTGAATTCTGAGTAACTTCCTAACTTTGCAGCCATGTGGTTTTTTTTAGGATACCAAACTGGCCATTTTAAAGTTTGATTATAGCTGGGTGGATGAAGTAGAGAAAGAAGAGAGAATGATGAAGGTATTAAATGTATACAATATGGCATAAACTTATTGTAGTTTGCTTGTGGGACATTATTACAGGGCATATAGCTCACTTGTATTTGACGAAATGTATTAGTTATCATTTTCCATTCCAATTGTATTCTTATTGATGCATTTCGATGCTT